CAGAGAGACCAGTCAAGGACAAAGAAGGAAAGACAATCACTGAGATTCAAGAACAGAAGAAAAGATGGGCAGAATACTTCAAGGAACTGCTGAATAGACCAGCCCCATATAATCCACCGAACATCGAAGCAGCCCACACTGACCTTCCAATAGATGTCATTCCACCAACGATCGAAGAAGTCAAGATGGCCATCAGACAAATCAAAAGTGGGAAGGCGGCAGGACCTGACAATATACCAGCAGAAGCACTGAAGTCAGACATTGAAATAACTGCAAACATGCTTCACCTTCTATTCAAAAAGATTTGGGAAGAGGAACAAGTGCCAATGGACTGCAAAGAAGGATATCTCATCAAGATACCAAAGAAAGGAGATCTGAGCAAATGTGAGAACTACAGAGGTATCAGTTTGTTATCAGTACCAGTAAACGTTTTCAACAGAGTGCTGCTGAATCGAATGAAAGACGCAGTAGACGCCCAACTTAGGGATCATCAGGCTGGATTACGTAAGGATCGGTCGTGCACAGACCAGATTGCGACACTACGGATCATCGTTGAACAATCAGTTGAGTGGAACTCATCACTATACGGAAACTTTATTGACTACGAGAAGGCGTTTGACAGCGTGGACAGGAGAACATTATGGAAACTTCTTCGACACTATGGAGTTCCTCAGAAGATTGTCAACATTATCCTAATCCCATACGATGGACTACAGTGCAAAGTGGTGCATGGAGGACAGCTGACAGATGCATTTCCAGTAAGGACTGGAGTCAGACAAGGCTGTCTACTCTCCCCATTCCTCTTCCTTCTAGTGATTGACTGGATTATGAAGAATTCGACATCTGAAGGGAAATACGGAATACAATGGACAGCTCAGAATCAATTAGATGATTTGGACTTCGCAGATGACCTAGCCCTCCTCTCTCATACACACGACCAAATGCAGATGAAGACAGCAAATGTAACAGCAGCCTCCACATCGATAGGCCTCCACATTCACAAAGGAAAAGGCCAGATTCTCAAATGCAACACGGAGAACACCAACCCAATCACACTTGATGGCGAAACTCTGGAAGAGGTGGAAACATTCAAGTACCTGGGGAGCATCATTGATAAACAAGGAGGATCGGATGCAGATGTAAAGGCGAGGATTGGCAAAGCAAGGGCAGCATTTTTACAATTGAATAACATATGGAACTCAAAAGAACTGCCAACAGATTTCAAGGTGAGAATCTTTAATACGAACGTCAAGACAGTCCTACTGTATGGAGCTGAAACGTGGAGAACTACTACAACCATCATCAGGAAGGTACAAGTATTTATAAACAGTTGTCTATGCAAAATACTCAACATCCATTGACCGGATACTATCAGCAACAGCGTTTTATGGGAGAGGACAAACCAGCTTCCAGCTGAAGAGGAAATTAGGAAAAGACGTTGGAAGTGGATCGGACATACATTGAGGAAATCACCAATGTGCATCACGACTCAATCCGTAACTTGGACCTGAAGGGAAGCAGAAAAGAGGAAGGCAAAGAGCGCACTACGCCGGGAAATAGAAGCAGATATGAAAAGGATGAATAGCAACTGGAAAGAACTGGAAAGGAAGGCTCAGGACAGAGTTGGATGGAGAATGCTGGTGAGCGGCCTATGCTCCTCGACGAGGGGTAACAGGCGTAAGTAAGTAAGTAAGTAATGTCAACAGTCGATTGCTTACTTACATTTTCCCTTATTTACAGCCACTTCCAACTCATTCATGCAGAATTATTTTTCATTTTATGATGTGATGAGGTCTGGTATGTTTCTACATAAACCACGTCAGTTTGAAATATATATATCATAGAGGCTGGCTGCTACCTCCGGACTCAAGGCAAGACATTGAGAGAAGCTTATGAATAAATGACCAGCAGGAACTTAGCTGCCGGCTCAAGGTCAGTGTTGCTAGTTGAGCATGTAATTGGCCAGTTTAGGGACACTAATGTGTCGAGGAATTAGTAGATACGAAATGGACAAAATTAGAATTAAGATTCCGATTGGTAACTTGGCATGTGATGTCGGTCAGCCGTCTTCATACGTAACAGTTTGTGAACAATTTATTGTTCAATGCATAATTACAGAGTTCTTTCCTAGAATGTGAAATTACTTCATTTGTAAATCTCCTATCAACTGTCTCTTACATACTTCATGATTCTTCTGATTTTCAATTCCTTTCTGTTTTCTTCAATTCAATCTTCTCAATTTTCTTTTGACAGGCATTCCACTCCTGATTAGTGTTACATACAACCTATGCCTGGCGACATCATCAGCATACAACACAGAGGTAACTCAACAAATGTAGATCTAAGTTGTACAACATACATTCTATTTCATGACCATGCAGTATGTCAGTTGATAAAACATAAAATCAACTCTCAAATTATGAAAATAACCAAATATCTTGAATTCATCACACAAATTATCAGAACATGAACAACTTCGGACACAAATACTTTAACAATGCATAGATGAAAATAAAAAATATTCATTATATTGGCTAGTAGTGGAATTCAGGATGTAAGTTTCTTCCTATTTGGAACTAGTCAGCTGGATGTACCTGCATCTCAGAGTTGATGTTCACTCCGGCACTCGAACCCAGTACCTTTGGCTTCCAAAGCCATCCTGTTATCCACTGAGCTACTGAGTCCTGATAGCCATTTGCTTGTGCAGTGGGGTGAAATTAAGTTTAAATTCACTTTTTTTTAATTTCATAGTTAATATCAGGAAGTTCAACAAAGTTGATAAGTTATGTATACCACTTTACAGAATTATGTTCTATTCCCTTATTTGAACATATACAATAATATGTAATCAATTTAATAAATACTGGATGGAGAGCCATTCGTAATCTTCTAGAAATAAATGGTTATCAAATGTGAAGTTGTGTTTTGGTATATCATTGTCTCCCTTACCCTTAAAAATCGATCATAAATGTAGCCTACTTTCTGATGAATGAAAACTATCAACTTCAGTGTAGCATAAGTTTATAAATCTTGTTACCATAGTTATGTCATTTCATATGTTTGTATCAAATAATGAGGTCGAGAATGTGTTTAAAGAGATATGTTGGTATTGGATTTCCAAATAAATAAGAGTGTATCAAACAATTACCAATTTATGCAAATCAAACTTTTGGTCACGTTATAATCTAACATAGCCATTGGAAAGAAAGCAGCTTTTATATTAAATATATATGCAGAATAAAAGGACATTTGAAGCAGTTGACAATATCTTTATCTATACGAAGGTATTTTTCTCCATGTACTCTGCATACAATATATTAGACAGGCTATTGTTTATCAATGTCCGTCTTTTCCCTTCATTAGTCTGATAGGTGGATTATACACAGTAACCAAATGGTTAATGACTCATAATCATGATTTATTACATGTTCCTAGTCATAGAAAGCTATGGTTCAATTGTTTGACTAATGATCACATGAAGAATATTTCATTGTAAAATGTTTCAAAATAAATATCCTACTTATGAATGTTTAAGTAGGTCATTTCAACAACAAAAAATTATCATTCCATATAAAGATGGATTTCAATTGAAATTCATCTATCATATATTCAATGTATTCATCATGTGATCTGACAAGAAATATCCATAAAGGGTTTTTTATTTTAAAAAAGTGATCAACTTGTAATACGATCAAATTAGTTGAATATTCATTGATAGAAACTGAATTTAAAGAAGAAGCATATGATTATTATTACGATCATAATTAGAAATTGTCTCTTTGAATGGAATACTTCAAGATTTCATCAATATTCTTAGTTTGATTGATGTTTTCAATGCACAATAGTCATTAAACATTAAAATATCACATGAAGAACTCGAATCTTTTTTTTTGAGGATAATTTAATTTTGTTTATTTATCTAAACAAAAATTACTGTAATGGAAATTTTCTTCAACGAGTTTATTTGGAAAACGTTTTTAAAAAAAATATTTCTGGGAAAATGATTTTTAATGGTTGAGATCATGAGTCAATTGAAGATAGATTACCATGGAAAACCTCAAAGCACTGAATTGGCGTTTTGTTCTATTGTGGGACTCCTCAGTAGTGTGTATTCACGATCACGCCTCTCGAGATTCGAATTTAGGATATATCAGTTTCGCACGCGATCGCTTAATCTCTACACTATTGAACAAGCCGGCATCCAACGATGTTAATATCTAACTTCAATTAATCCACGAAATTGAACGATAGATCCAACATTGTCTTCACTGAATTAATATCTCACAATAGACCCGGTTGAACTCCACTGATCAGTGCTTCTCATTTGAACTCCAGGAAATACTTCTTGGGGCCAGTCATTAGTGAGTATATGATTATTATCAAAAGGTGTTTTATCGAGATTTTAATGATTTTATAGTTGAAATCATGAGTCAATTGAAGAAAGATCACGATGGAAAACCTGGATGCACTAGATGGTCGTTTCGAACTGCTGAGGAATCTCACAATAAGACGAAACCACCGCCCAGTACTTCCAGGTTTTCCATGGTGATCTAGCTTCAAACAAGTCATCATTTCAACTATAAGATTATTAAAATCTCCACTAAACCTTTTTCTAATAATAATAATGATCAAATGTGTTATTCATAATTGTTGTAAAAATCAATTATTTAATTTTTTAGTATATTACTCATTTAATAATAAGTAGTTTCATCAATCATCTGATCACATGTTAATTTCACCACCACAACCACCAACAATAACAACGACAACAACAAGCACAAAACATTAACACCATAACCAATCATATTACTTTTAATATATATTAACCAATCAAATAATAAAATATTTTCTTTTTTATTATTTCCATTTAATATAAATAAGATTTGAATAATTTATTAGTTGCCATTAGAAAAATTTGCATAAATTTTAATCAATAATTCATAACAGTACAATCATTATCATTCCCTAACACTTAAGTGGTACCTCTTCTTTTTTTTGCAATGTCTCATTCAAAGAAATCAATATTATCAGTAAAATTTTTTATACAAGATCCATTAAATCATGATCATATTGTTTATCGTTGGATGACACCTATTACAATACGTCATTTAGATTGGGATAAAATTATTGAAAAATTACATTATGTAACATCGAAAAAATATTCAGGATTTGAAATGACATGGTATGGTAAGTGTTATTTGAATTTTTTGTTGTTGTTAATTCTGATATATATGATGTCAGTTAGAGTATAAGCTATATTGCCATGTAGAGCTGAAGGTCTTAATTAAGACTGAAGGTTCTTCATTGACATTGTGGATGGTACGGTATTACTTTGGCAAGTCTTGCTGACTGTTCATGTGCAAAATTGATTTGCTGATTAGCCGATTTCATTCATATAGGTGGTTGCTTTTCAGTATTCCCAAGGGTCATTGTCATTGGAACATTGTAAGGCATGTCACCATTACTAACATTAATGAGTTTGACTCTCGTGTAAGCGGAATAAGTCAACTTTAGCCTGTTCATGACGTGCACAATTGATTTACCCGATAACTGATTGGAATAATTATACATGTGAAGTGAATGTGTATATGAATGATGAGAATGGTCTACCAGGGTTCTAGGTATCTGTGTGGTTACGCCACAGAATTGATCTCTACTATTCAGATTGTGGAGTTAAAGCGTATATGGTGGTTCTCCTATGAAGCCGGATTGGATTGTACTGCTTGGGTTATAAACTTTAGGCTTGGATAGTTTCTATTTCTCCTGAAAACGGGATTAAGCCGTACTATTTGGGCTAAAAATTTTAAGCCTGGGTAGTGTCTGGCTCTCATGCAAGTGTGATTCAGCTGTACTGCTCGGGTTAAGCCTGAGCGGTGTCTGACTCTCCTGTTGAACGGGATTGTGCTGTAGTGTTTGGCTTGTCACGTGAAAGTTTGGATGGTGTCCGGTTCTCCTGAAAACCAATATATAATTACCCTGGCCCGCATGGGTAATATTATATAACTTATATATTATATATTAAGAAGAAGGAAGTTATCTAATATCAATGTATTTGTAATAATTAAATAAGTTTGAGTAATAAGTAATCAATTAAAATGTTTGAATTATGATTAAAAGAGTGGGGACGATTAGGTTAACAGTCATCAAACTTGTTACTAGCTATTTACACTTATTGATACAATACGATTTTCACTGTAAGATCAACAGTGATATGAAACCACAATTGACTGATAAGGTTACTCACAAAACTGAGACGGCAATACTAACTGAATGTATAACAGAAGACAAATACGAAAATTGATTGATGAAATCTTATAGAAAATTAAATGATGTTCAAGCAAGATAGTATTGTAGGATTACATATGGAATCAAGATTGATAATGAAAAGAAGCTAGTAAAGATGATGAAATCATTAACCATCATTGAAGATTTGGAATCAAGGGACTGCCGTTTCGTCCTAGTATGCGACGTCTCGACAGTGCGCATTCATGACCCCATATGCGGACTCAAGCTCTGGACCTTCGGTCTCACACTTGAACGCTTAACCTCTAGGTCACTAAGCCGGCATTTAATGGTGTTAATGTCTAACTTTATTCTATCCAAGTATATGGACCTTAAAGCAGAAGAGAAAAATACGAAGTACGATAGAAGGAAGTATGTTATTTATTTTAGTAGAACGGTAGGCATAAGAAATGACAGTTAGGAAAGTTGTATTCAGAAACATAAGAATTGCATGAGACCGTGCATGATTCCTCTTTTTCAAGCCGTTTAATCTAAAATCTCCAAATGTGATAATCCAGCGGATTTCAGTAAAGTAGTCTCCCCTTACTGACATTACACAGATCGTTTGAGTTGCATTATGTAAACCTTTATGACCACAGTGTTCAGGATAATGTATATTTTATAAGAAAGCTGTTATATGAATGACAGATTAAAATAATATGGGGATCAATATATAGAAGTGATATTATTTCTTAGGAAAAAATCTCAGATTCAAGCGATCACGTATAATTGATCGGGTGAAAAATGATTTACAACCTTGTGTCAGAATGATAAATCTGACGGAATCACAGTTGCATAATTCTATTGAGATCACCTTGGAATTTCTAAACGTTTACAGTCAAAGTGATTGATGGTAGCTAACTTCACTAACATACGTGAATCACAGATATTAATGCATATTTAGGAATGGTTGCTGTTTAGCACAGTCTGTATTTTCCATTTGTCTGTATTCCATCCTGTTTTCTATAAATTCTTTATACCAAAGCTAACTGAAGACCAAATTTTCTTTATTTTATATTCAGATGGCTTTCATCATTGTGTATTGACTAATACAAAAGATTTACGTAAGGCAGTTGAACTTATGCAAAGACGTGTAACTGAAGACAACTGTGTAAGACTTCATGTTAGAGCAATACCAAAATTATTACGACCGGAATGTCGTTCACAAATTAATGATGATACACAATTTTCAGGTCAATATTTACCTAGTTACTTAGAAGCAATTGGTCTACAACCTTCAATGCAAAACGATTCAACTAATAGTGAAAAGCAATTCTTTAAGGAAGATCTATTTCCGAAACATGAATACCGTTGGTAATGAAAGCAAAATAGATATGTGCAGATTCAAGACTCCATTAAGAATATTCATATGGATCTAAAATGTAAACTATTTCTGAAAATAATTGAACAATGATGTCTCTTTTATATAATTTTTTCCAATGTCTTTGTTTACAAAATATTGCCGCCACCCCCCGGTAATTCCAAAATATTAACGATATTCAATGTAATGACCATCACATTCTCTTTCACAGGTACTTGTTTAATCAATAAATCAATCATTTATTTACTTATAGATCAGATAAAATTTAGGTTTTAGAACAACATACTACTCTCAACATCAGTATAAATAATTCAACATTTTGATACATTTAAATGTATGTATTTATGACAAGTTGTAAAGTGTTTTCCATTTACATATATAGTTACATTTAATGCCTTGTTGTTACTATGGTAAACTCTCAAGATGGTTCCTTTTTTGAATTGTTACGGGAATTCATCAGTTCATTATGTTACTAGGTTAGCAAACACTATATAAAATTAATAAAATCTTTACAAAACCCCCCTTCTGATAGCAAACACTATATTTTATTGATTTCTAGTGGCTATCAGGACTCAGTGGCCGAGTGGATAACGCGATGGCGTTTAAAGCCAGGGTACTGGGTTCGAGTCCCGGAGTGAACAACAACTCTGAGGTGCAGGTACATCCAGCTGACGAGTCCCGAATAAGACGAAACGCGAATGCTGGATTCCACTGCTAGCCACTATCCATCTCTGCTTTTATTAATTTCGTTTTTGTTTTATGTTGTAAATAAATACAGAGTTTTTATCAACATGATATATGGTATTACTGTAGTGAATGAGAACACAAATAATGATAATTGAATGTATTTGAATACAAAATTACAGAATCTCTTAGTGAAATCTGAAAATCATACGGTAAATACTTCATTTGCAAAATGTCAATTAATTATTTCAGACTTCACTGTTCCTTTATTCCCATAGCAATTGCTGTATGTTCCCGTTTTTTCCTTCTCGATCTTCTTCTTCCAGTCATTCTATTCCTGACTAGTGTTAGATGTTACTTATGTCGACATAAGTAGCACACACCACATTATCACGGAACAGATAACTAGTAAAATAAATCATTCAATTAGCAGTACAATATATATGTATATATATATATATTTCTTTACATTTTCTTCTTGTTTTAGAACCTACTTTTCTTGATGAATCCACAATAAATGAGGCAAATTTTATAGAGTTTTCCTTCTTCAAACTAGAAAGACAATGAAAAGTTTTAGTAAATACTTACTTACCTACTTATGCCTGTTACCTCTCGTCGAAGAGTATAGGCCGCACACCAGTACTCTCAATCCAACCCTATTCTGGGCAAAATCGATCCTTGATTATAAAAATAAACTATTATACTGATACTGAAAGAGATAATAAGTCAGTTATCTTATGTAAGTCATATGAAACTAAATGTTGTTATATGTAGTGTAATTTATAAATTATTTGATCAAGAAAGTGTCAAGACTGGAATCAATGTCAAAGAAGGCGATCATTTGTTTTATGTGAAGAAAAATAAGAGTGTCTATAATGTGCTAATCAGATAAATTCGATCAAGATAAAAATAATGTTAGTGATTGTTCGATATTGATTAATAAGCTCTATGATAATACATTTTCATAATTATTCTACTTATCGTTATTTAAGTAGTTCAGTTCACAAACTGAATGTACTTATCATCTAGTGAATCATAATAATGAAATAAAATTCATTATACATATACTTATAATGTTCATCATGTGATATGACAGAAAATAACCATCATACAATAGTAAAGAATCAAACTGAAGTGACGACCAAATCATACTGATATTAGTTGATATGAACCGAATTCAAGGAGAAATATATGATGATTATTTTTACTATGATTATTATTATTATTACTACTACTACTAATACTACTACTACTACTACTACTACTACTACTACTACTATTACCATGAATGAAAAATGTCATTTTGAAATGAGTAACACAATTTTTCTATGACATTTTAATTTTATTGAAGAGCTTTTAAGAAACCATAGTCAGAAATAGAGAAGGTCACATGAAACATGTGGACTAATGATATAACTATATAGGAATGATTATAAATTGAGAATAAATAACGTTTAGTCGTAGAGAAGATTTGTAGCTCAAGTGGATAATTTTGATAGAGTTTTGTTCGAATACTTCACTTCTGTCTGAAGTTTGTGCTGATGATGTCGTTCAAAAGAACTATGAAAGCTCCACAACCAAACCATCCAGCTCAGAGAACAAAACTCCATCAAGAACGTTTAGTCGTATAACTGAAGAGATTTATATTTGGACTGTCTATTTATCATTTATTATCAAGTTAGTTTTAATAGGACAATAACTATATAAAACTTAGTGTCGATATATATGGAATTATATTATTATTCGAGGTTAGACACAATATATGCCCGATACTTGAATTCATGCAACATTTAATTGTAATTTAAGATAGTTAACAACAAGTCAGAAAACGTTAGTTAAGGCAATCAGTATGAGTAAGCTATTATTACCTTCATAAGAAATTTTACACTGTAGACCGACATGTCATTTTGTTAATCAGGGTTTTAAACAATCTACTTGAGAGCATAAATCACTATATATAAACCGTACTTGAAAAACTTATTTTAGGTAACATAAAAGTATCCTTTGGTTACAAACAATGAATGTAGTCAAAAGGAAAATATATATTATAGTAACTGTTTTATTGAATTGTGACAATTTCAGATCCTCAGTAGGTTAAACCGCTAAAAATATACTTAATATAGCTGATTAAGTTACTGAATACGTTTAGCAAGTATTTTGTATCAACGAAAACATAAGAAATGATGAACAATATCGTCTAATTATTAATTTAATCTTGAAACCACTGTCCATTAATTGAAATTAAAGTAAAATCTATGGTTACGTCGAATAAACTCATTAAAAAAAAGGATGAAAGTATGGGAGGTACTTTACGTTCATTGTTGATTTTGTCGAGGAAGGAAAAGTATTCACAGAATAATACAAGACCATTAGTATCTACAAGAATTTTAAAACATAATAAGATAGATGAAACAATCTTCAGTTGTTAAGTCCATTGTCTTTTAGAATTCTACTGTAAGGTGTTTGAGAACTCTGAATTGTAGAAATAGTTTAAACGATTTTTTTTGACCATTGAAGAATTTCTATGAGAATTATCAAAGGAAATCAACATATTAAACACTGTCTTTCCTCGTATATAACTGAAGAAAATGTTCGTTTACAGATTTCTCTTGATAGATTTCTCAAAAAAGTATCTTATGCTTCATGTTCCATTGTTTGTGATTGATTAATGATCAACAAAATAGACCAAAGCGGTTTGATGTTGTGAAGATTGTTCAACTAACTTCAAATGATAATTCTAGGAGTGCTAATCAGAAGCCCATACCATTAAAGTTCAGCCACGTCTCGAGTAAGACACCTTGCCAATGAAAATGGATAACAGCCATGTAATATCATGAATTGACTAGAGTTAGAATTTTATAGCAATTTTATAGCAACCCAGTTGATGGAGCACTTACCACGAGACCTAGAGGTTAAGGATTTTATCGCTGTTTGTGTTGTGGATAAACATTACTATAGAGACCCATACCACGATGGAACAACTGTCCGGTGCTAATTGATTTTAATGTTCGCTAAACCAAAACCAGTCTATTAAGTGTTACCTAAAAAATTAATTGAATTAACTTTGAAAAAGTTAGCATGAATATTGTATAACTATCAGTGATAGTGAAATAGTCTTCTTGTTGACCCTTTTTCGTAACCTCACTCTATTTGGTTAGGCGATTAACTTGATTACAAAGATTTACGAAGAAAACCAATCACAAACAAGACCATCTGGGAGAACTGATATAACGCATATGGAAATAATTAAGATGATCACTTCAATGGGAAGTATATTCTGCAAATGTTGCCAATAGAAACAGTGGAATCTTACATTTAGAGAATCCTGTCCAGAGAACTCGATAACACTAAATTGACTGGTAACCAATATGGTATTTGTAAGGTCCATGATACCTATAAATTTTTTATACATTACATTGTGACTTTACATCGATTGAATTATATTTCGGTGTTTAACGGTTGTAATCAGTCAGTAAGAAACCTTGGATCTAGGATACTGGTGTTACTCATGAGTAAAGTACGGCAAGACTAATATTTACGGATGATCTTCGAATGAATCTTAAGTGACCTTGAAAAATATTAGCTAACCGGTAAACAGTCAGTATAAAGTAAAAATATATTATACAAAACCAAAGAATTAACGTGGATACACTTCTTTTAAATGGTCCAAAAACTTGTCAAGGTTAGAAAGAAGTTCAAAGGTTCTAAAATCGTAATGCTGTTGTGGTAGCTTAAATCTGATTCCTTTATGATCGCACGTACTGTCTATTCTCATATGTAATAAATGACTTTATCCGCGTTGGTGAATAACGGAGTTAAATAAGTCAAATACGAGAATGGTTCTAGAATACATATATTTTTTACACTCATTAGTCTGGCCAGGGATAATTTTGATGGAGTTTTGTTCTCTAAGCTGTATTCGTAATTAATTGAAATAATTCTCAAGAAAAATACAGTGATCCCTTCTATTCATCTAACACACACACACACACATACACGTGATTTCATTAATGATTAAAAAATTAACTCTGGAAGTCATTAAGATTTTTTTTAATTTTGTTTAGTAAAGGAAACTAATGATAAATAATAACCTAAGTAACTTTAATACAATTACCATTTATTGTATGTATGATTTAATAATATACAATTTGAAATACATGGTTAATCATAAGGTACTTTGACTAAACAATTACTATGGAAATAAGTTTATTGAATATTTAATGGTATATTTACTCAATAAGTCATAGTGTAGTAAACGAGAACACATAAGTAAGGACAATCAAATGTACTAGAATACAACATTAATGATATGAACAGCGAAACAAGAAGCCTAAACAAACTACGGAAGCTATTTTTGAGGACGTTATTTCATTGAAATCAAAGCTTGTATATCTGTAGCATTTACTTTAATCCCTGGCCTATTCTACAGATCATAAGCTTTCGTTTGATGTATGATTCACTGTCATAACC